TACTCACTGAAGCTTGAATGGAAGGATTTAAAAATGTATCTTTCTGCTTTTGAAAGCATTCTTGTGGGAAAAACTCTACCTCGCTTTGATATCTTAAAACAAAAAATTCTTTCAAACCTGTTTTCCTGTACACAGCAACAAGGTCGGGCTTTTTGTGTGACAGAAGAGGAGGCCATGCTGAATAGACCACGACCATGAACACAAGATCATTTGACAAGATCATCCGAGCATAAACAAATGTAGCTAAGTGCTGTGTTCAGTGTGTTTGACAGCACTGATGCAGCAAGCCAAATAAGCCCTGTTCTGTCTTACCCATAAGGACAGCCTGTAAGATGATGCTTGTGTGATAAACAGGCTTTGTGACTCAAAGAAGCACACACTAGAAAAAAACAACATTACACATTACCTGAACATCGCTTTGAAACTTTGAAATTTATATCTCTGACTTGAAGATAATTTACTAAACAAAGTTAAACATGCACGTTGAAAATTAAACAAGATGCTGTTTAAACACGTCTCAGTCACATAATGATTATATCTTTAATCTGAGGTCATATTTAATTGAGATAGATACTGATTATGATTTAACTTAAAACCAATAAGAAAATAATACCATTAATTTGAAAGGGAAAAATTATCATGAAAAATGATTTAAATGAGAGACTGTGTCTTCCTGGTATAGTCTTTTAAAAAATGTGCTGTAAAAGAACTATACATCAAAACATACAATTTTCACATTATTAACATTGCAAAAGCATATCTAATGAAATTAACACTGTGGCACTATGTTGAAGCAACCACACCTACAGCTTGTATAACAACTGCATGTACAGAAATTTAACTTTAAGATCTATTTAATGGAACAGGCTTTTTAAATATCGATACAATACAATCAACTTTTCATATTCTAGACATAGAATTAAGACTGCTGACTTAAGCCGAAAACATACAGGATCCATATTGAGCGCGTTTTGTATTTGCTCCGTAGAGCAATGTGGGGTATCGCATACAAGATGCATATTTGGAGCATGCACGAACTAAAACACAGTCAGGAGTTTGCATTTGATATTTTATTTTGAAATACCGTATGACGTGCGGTTTTCGTGCTTGACATCCTGTCTCGAACGATCTTCCCAGTGTGGTTTGACATGCATTAGAAGCATAGAGCAGCAAAAATAGACTCATTGTGTATCTTCATCAGTGCTGCTCTTGATATGCCTCTGATACGATGCTGCGACAGAACTGATACATGTCCTGTATGCAACGATGCATTGATTAGAATGGCAACCTATTTGGTGCATGATACGCGACGCTGCCGATACACACTCAGTACAGATCCTGTATGTCTTAGCCTTTAGTGTGTTCTGCTACTTTGTCATAGGGACTGCAGAAAAACAGTCTGATGTCACACATTGGTTTTGCCTTCCGGCAGCAGTTCCCATGTTGTAAATGTGACTCAACCATATTTTTGGTATAAGAGGCAAAAAAGTGGAGTTGAGGCTGGTCTTTAACCTCCTGACTCACAGTTACAGTGTGTCTGGCTGTTGGTCAAGCCAGCTGTGCCCCCGATTGTGCCAAACTAATGACCTGAATATCGTAAAAGCTAATATATTTACAAAAAAGAAATCAGACACCCTGTATGGTGTGGGCAAGAGAAATGAGCAATTTAGACTCAAACTGTTTTTGTACTATCCTGTAAACGTGTTCATTTTGTTGTACAGATGGGCATTTGAATGGGTGTGTATGTGGTTTCTGGAGCTCCTGGAGCAGGCCTCAAGTGGACACTGTAGAAATTGCAGTTTTAACACTTCTATATTGGCTTCATTTCTCAAGACCAGAAGTAGCTGCTCTGCTCCAAAGCAAACCTCTGCCTAGACTTGTCAGTCTAAGCAGGCTGAAAAGATCAAGCGTGATATGAAGTGGTACATTTATTTTTAAGTTTGATCTACATACTGCTGTAGGCTCCTCAGAGTCGCACATTGAAGAGCCGCAGACCACAACAACATGACAAGTCACGGTCATGAGGTCATTTTCACACAGCCTAAGAAATATACTTCTGTAAGTGAGAGTTTATAACTTTCTGTAAACCCTGTTAGAAAACAAAAGTTGGTTTATCATTGATATGAGTTAGCAAGTAGGATCTGAAAACAGGGGTTACAGAAACTTCTATTTCAGCATTGATAGTGATATTCTTTACTTACTCTGATAGTTTGAATTCCTGAAGGTTTTGACATAGTATTGTGTCGTTCGCCAACAATTTGTTCAAAAGAACCGAATCTTTTAAATGAACGTACTGAGCCAAATCACTTCCTCAAGTGATTCGTTTGTTTCTCAATTCAGTTGAGCTGAAGTGAGAAACAGTATTGCCAGGCAAGGAGCTGGCAAACGAGGGACGGCATGCACCAACACCTGAATCACTTGGTCAACGAATCACGCATTGAACTACAGTCTCTGGAATCATTTTTGTCAGACAAAACTAACTTTTTTTTTTTTCCTGCTAAATTGCCACCACAACAACTTGCATACAATAGGACACAGCATGTAACAAGTAGTGCATAAAACCCACAGCATCCTATCATTGCAGCTGTTTGCGAGGGAACGGTGCATGTTCAGTGTGAGTTCTTCTAAACGTTTAGTGAACGAATCTTTCACTGAGCCCAATTTACAGAGCAGACCTGATAAATAGCATACCATAGGACAGTACACTTAAAACATCATGACCTATAAACAAGTTCATTTGTACAAACTTGTTTGCCAAAGCAACACAACCAAAGACTCTCATCTCCCGATCCCAGAAGCTATGAATTTAACTGAATCCTAAACCGTTCAGCTGTGTATCCGTTCAGGAAGTCAGAGTCAGAGGCCCCTCCCACCAAGCACTGAATGATTCTGTGATTCGATGAATAAATCTTTTGAACAAATGATTTTAGTGAACTTATTCTAGTGATTCAGTACATCTAAAAGAACTGCCATGCCCATCACTATTTTAAAATCCCTCACATGTTTCTGCAGTGGTATTTGTTGTAAACTGTTACTTTGGGTTGTATTTTGGTCTACACTAGTGACATTCAAGGTAAAAGCAGTCAACTTCATTGTGTTGTCAGTTCCTCCTCTACTATAAGCTTCTCCAGTTCCTAGCCTGAATGAAAAGTGTCATCAAGGGGACAATGCAAGTGTTACCACATATGTTACATAGCGTTTCACACGTCAACTGTGTGCGACTGTTGTGACTTCAGTATGACTGCATGTCTCTTCCATAACTCACATGAAGCAGTGGTGTGAATCATGCTCACAGGTTAACTGCCAGGAAACTCCCTCTGTACACACTCTGCACAAGTGACGAAGCATCATCATTTTAGGGGGTCTTTCCACCAAGTGAACTGATTTGATTTTCAGCAAGTGTGAGCAGTGTTTGAAAAAAAGCAAAATGTGTGCCCTGTGAGAAACATCAGCCACACAAAACTTGAAAACAAAACAATGTGGATAATCGCCCCACTGCCACACTCACACATGATTACTCGCACACTCACACAAAAACTCACATTTTCACACATTGATAGACACAAATATCCATACACATATACAGAAGAATGCTCTGCAAAATTACCACACACATCCTTTCTTTTTTTCCCTCCTTTTTCCCTCCCACACTCTCTCTTTTTGTCTAACTCCCTCTCTCTCTCTCTTTTACACACACATATGCACACAAACACACACTCACAAACACACACTCTCTTTCTTCCTTTCTGGCAGTTTTGCGTCAGTGCTAAGACCACAGGGACGGTTGACATTTCACTCTGGCTCTGTTTCCATTCCCTGTGATCACAGCCATGCTGCTTCGCCTCCCTTAAAGGTCACCGTTGTTGTTTGTCAAAATCCCAACAAAAACACACCATGCAATGCTCTTTGTGTGTATGCATGTGTGTTAGTGTTAGAAAAAAAGACACGCACACATGCACAAATCAGAAAAATTGTGTGTTTAACTAATGGGATCTTTAAACTAGGGTTGCCAGTCTATTTAAACATATTTTCTTGAGAGTAACTGGACAGTCCACGTGTGTGAGCCTCGTAGAAACCTGCTTGTTTCATTGGTCATTTGATCAAATGTTAAAATTCAATAAAATCCTTAAATGTAAACCGAGCACACAGGATAATCAAATTGGAGAAATCATCAGTTTAGCTGTGCTCTTCTTGAACATGTGTAGCTCATATCATCAACAACATCAGATAGGTCACAGCTTCTTAGCTGGAAGTGAGACGACAAATAAAGAAACTACTGAGCTCAAAGAGAGAGCAGCACAGACTGAGAGCACAGTAAAGCTTGTTGCTAACAAGCTGTTTTGCAGCAAGGAAAACCCAGGCAAGCTGTTTCTCACTGCTCCCATTCTTAATGTAAAGCTAGACTTAAAGTCTTCTGAGTAGCATTCCTCTCCTCAGAGCACATGCTGCCTTTAAATGGGACCTAACAGGTTGTGACCAAATGGGAACTTAGTGGAAACCCACTGGGATTACCTTTTCTTGGTGAAAGCAACATGGACACCAGTAGATAAGGTCATTGATCTTCTTTTTTTCTATGTGGAAATCTAAAATGAAATTATTTCTTGTTGCTGAAAGTGCATGAATGGAAAAATTACCAGAAGACAAAGAGAACAATCTAGATTACCACTTGCCATTGCTCCTTTTGGTCCTGCACAAGGCTAGCGTCAATCAAACTACATTTTACAAGGTGTGCTCAGGTTTATGTCTGCTAACCAAGCACCTCAAATTTCCCACAAGTTATGTTTCTGTCTAAAAAAAAAAAAAAAGCAAATTCAGCATTTGACACAAGAGGTTTTATGCCTTAACTGGTAAAGTACTTGAAGTTTACTTTACTCATAAGTTGTCCTATACACAAATTTTGAATACGTCCATTATTTTGCAACCTGGGCTGCAAAAAGAACAAAAAACACAATAAATGAATGCTGCTGGCTAAAGGTACAGAGGCTGTTTTAGTTTTTAAAATGGTAAGCAACGCTGATGCAGCCAGAGAGCGCTTTAAAATGACCACATATGAACAGAATCCTGTTGGACAACCTGAGAGAGAAGCCCAAGAAAAGGTCTTTATCAGCTTTGCTCTTAAGGTGATCGCTTATTCTACCTGCTTGTAGTTGGATAATTGTACCTCTTAAGAGCTCTAATGTAATGCCATGCTACAATGACACACTTATAATTTTCCAGTAAGGGTACATCAATAACAGTGTGGACTATAGTTTCCTTATAGGCCAGTTAAGGTAATGCTGCTTTGTTTTTACAATTACATAACCAGTTTTACCAACAGTCTCAGTTTCTTCACCTTGTGGCCATTTGCAGTCTGTCATGGTATCTGACCTGGGGGTTAAGTGATATGAATTTTTCTGGCTCGTTTCTTTAGCATATTCATCCGTCACCCTGCAACATGAATCAGATTGCACTAAACCCTGCATTTGACCACACTTTTTTTCCATAATTGGTTTACTGTTTTGTATATAACATGCAGGTAGTTGAAAGGGCCAATCAAATTGAAGATGAATCCTTTGGCCACCAAATTCTTATTGCTATGCATAAAACATACTTCTTAAATGTTAATTATGATCCTCTCGAACTGTGATTGTGTCTTTATGTACTCAGACCCAGCCATCTGTTTGTTTTCTGGTTGTTGGTCTATGGGCATTGGTGTGCAGCTTCACCTAATATAACATCCCACTGGTGTGGACTCAGTGGCCAGCAGGCTACCTAGCTGCACCACTCAGTATGTTTATTGTCTTAGTGCAACTGAAACTGGACTTTTAAGAAACATAGAAAACCCATCAGTCCAGCTGAAACTAAATCAAGCTTCTTAGAATTGGTCCAACATATCAAGATTTTCCCTTCAGTGTACATCGCTGACACCAGCTTTAGCATTCTACACATACTCCAGTGATTGCACACTAGGCTATGGGCTAGTGTGCAATCACTGGAGGCACAAGTGTTTTGCTAACAAAACTCGACAGACAAAGAAAGGACATCAACAAAAACAATACTTTCCTACCGTACAAATGAACAGTATGGAGCTGTAAAAGTGACATCATGTAGTCTCTTACTTATGTGTAATGTTAATTGTTTTGAAATGTAATATATTAACTGGGTGATAACCCAAAAGTAACAATCTGAAATAACACGTCGCCATCTATAGACATGCTTCTGTCAGGAGTTTGATTTAGGCCCAGTGTTTGTAAACAGGGACAAGGAAAGTAGTTCAGTTAATTTGCCTAATGAAGGTAGGCTGACTAATCTGTACGTGTCAACGTACTGAAATTCCACAGCATACTGGCTATAGCATGGTTTTAGCCTTAAAGTCTGGCACTGTAGGATGATGTCAATGTTTATTTGTGTCTTAAATATAGCCATCATGAGACAAACTAAAAAATTACACTTTGGTGTGAATGAATCATTATTGAAACTAAGGATGCAGAATAGAAATATCACATTAGGAATATTTGAATGTCACCTATTAAGATTCTCATAATATATCATTGTTTGGTGAATTCAACCGATGAAATTTGTTTAAACTGAGTTATTAACACTATTAGACATGGTATAGGACCCACTAGTGTGTAATGGATGATGTCTGGTAGCAAGTGCAGACCAGGCCCCTCAACAAAGTTAAAAAATAATCAAAATCAAAATAATTCATAATGTCTCAAACTAATTTATAATGTCTCATTTAGACTGATTGAGACTATAAATGCCGCATTTCTGTAGCAAACAGAAATTCACAAATCCCAGTTTTTTTGTTGTCAACCATCAGTTGTAATGTTTGAATACATTTCCAAAAAGGAAAAAAAAAACACTCTTCCTGAAGTCATTTAGTTTAACTGTTTTGTTGTTTTGGAGTTCTTGATTCTCAAAATGTTTTTTTTTTTCTCTTTGCACAGACCCGTGTGTGCACCCAGTCATTTGAAGTTAAAGGAGGCCTTTCCTTAGCTAGCTCTCCATCGCTGTTTGCAGGTAAGATTCTTTTTGGACCAAAGAACACAAAAAAGATTTTTGCACCAATTTTGTGACACAAAAAGCTTTTGTTTTCATGCTTATTTCAAGGATGCTTTTGTGGAGTAGCCCCCACCTTTGAATAAACTCTAAATTCTTCAAGCAATCAAATATTTACTAGGAGAGAAAAAAAGAGCTTTTTATTGTTTTGGCTGTAAAAAAGTACTCAACAACAAAAGCAGTTTCTAGAAGATAAACAGGAAAGTTGCAAGATTTAATTAATATTTCCAGTGTTGGGGTAATTTAGTTTGCATTTCTAATGGCACTCTGTCTTTTTGCATGCATTCCTGCTGTGTGCACAGTTGTAGAAGCCTGAGGCGCTTCAAATCAGGATAACATTGTAGGTTTTTTTCTTTTTTTTTTTCCTGCACACTTTCTTTACAAACCTGGGGGTAATTTGGAAATACTGGTTTAATATTGCCTTATATTCCCTTATTTAATCTTGCAAATTGCTCATCTCACAGGGCAATGTCAATTGTACAAGAGCTAGTCTATTTGATTAAAGGTAATTTGGGATGTTGTTAAAATTAGGATACTGTTTGTGTGGGCAATGCGATTGTAATAACTGCCAGGAAGAGTCACATTTCCTGCCAACACCATGATTTAAAACCAAAGATGATTGCTCATGGTTGTTTTTTTTTTCTTTTTTCAAAAGAGAGAGGGAAAGAGAAAGAAAGAGAGCGAGAGAGAAGACAACTCTGCCCAAATTGCCTTGAAAAAACAATGATGTTGGAAAAAAAAAAACAATTCAGATGAGTGATTGACACAGCGCCCAATTCATCACAATGAGAAATGGTGGAGGGTATCTGACAACCGAAAAACACTGTTGGAAGGTAAACACGCACACACAACACTCACACACAGACACTGAATTACTGAGGTGCATAAATACACACACTCTTACACACACCCAAACATGAAAGTAGTTCAATAGCTATTACAGAGTAGCTTTGCAGAAATTTGGTATCAAATGATTGGTGAGATCTGCTGCAAGCAAAAAATGGAGTTGCAGCTGTTGTGTTTGTGTGGATGTGCCCGTGTGTGTGATTTGTATGCGTGCAGCAGCAATCTTGTGTGTCTCTTTGAATGTGCGAGTGCCACCCCCCTGGTCCCTCCTCCCCCTCTGTCGCTCACGTCCATAGCCATTAGTGAGGCGGCCGTTGAGGCTGCCTTGTTTTGACAGATGCTCACTCTGTCCAAATGCATCTCAGAGGACGTTATGGCGCTTGTCACACTCCCCCTCCTTCTCGCTCTCTTTCCATTTCCTCCCCTCTCTTCTTTACTCTCACTTTTCTCAGTCTCTCTTGGACCAAACATGGCTTCAAGTATAATATATCTTGAGAAGTTGTTGTACTGCTTTTGATGAAATCATCCCAAATTTTCTGCATGCACGCATAAGCCCACTTCAGTCTTGTCCCAATGTTTCATGACACACTATTCCACTTATATGCCAAAATTACCAGTTCAACTCCATTGTGTTGCTCCAGGGCCTTAATACGATTGAAGCGGGGTGAACTTTGCTTCAGGTCAGCCTTTCTATGTTTTCTCATACTGTATGCCTCCAGGCAGGGTTTTGAAGTCAAAAGGGGAGAAGGAAAGGGGGTCTAAAATGCCAACAAGAGAAAGTCTCAGGAAGCCTACTGCCCCAGTGTTGCCACAACGCTAACCTACCTGGACGCAATGAGGCCACTAATGCTAATGTAGACTTCCTCTTGGCTTACAGGTCAAAACAGCACACACTGTGACTAGTTGGCAAAATACAGACCTGGATACTCCTCCAAGCCTGATGAAATTCTCTAATTAATTCAGCGGGATGATGGACACATCTGATGAAAAGTTTCTTCCAAAAACTGAAAAATCCTTGTGACGAAAAAAATTAAATAATAAAATTCATTAGCACTCCAAATTAGATAACTTCTGAATGAGATTAACTGTTGTTCGGGGCACATTTTTACAGTATCTTTTGAACGGTATCAGGCTTGTTGGTCATTGAATCATACAAATACAAAAAATTTCCAAGTCAAACTTCCCCTAGATTACAGATTCATGCACATGACCCTCTCTATCATTCAGCACTCCATGCACTTAATCATGCATGCAAGTCTAAAAACACACCAGTTGCCCTGCACACATGCAACAATTTATGTGTTTGCCCTGGAGGCAGTTGAATATGTTTTAAGGGAAGTTTGTTAGAAGTCTGATTTAACCTGCACCCTCTTCGGTGCTCGTATCTTTTTTGCATGCTCCAAGCGAGGTAAAGGTGACCTTGCCCTGAGGACTCAGAGCCACAGAGCTGCCCCTCTGCTTCTTTTCTTTGCCTCACTGTGGCAACTTAAGAGAGGGAGAGTAGATGTGTGTGACTTTCTCTTTGAGTGCCTCGCTGAGAGTGTGTATCTGTCTCCAAGTGTGAGTAAGAGTTGGCCAGGCTTCAGGAGGGCTGAATCACACCGTCTGGGCTCTCCGTTGGATGGACAGGGCTTGGCTTAGGGCTGAGAGGGTCCTTTACGCCTCAACACACACTCTCCCAGGTCTGCACACTCTCCTCGATCCTCCTCTAAAATGCTGGGGTGATGAAAGGAGACATGCCAATACATCCAAGAGTCCAACCACGGCTGGAAAGAAGAAAAAGAGGAGGGTACGAGGGGGGAATAAGTAGGAGAGGAGACAGAGAGGTTGAAAAATGTCTAAGAATGCGTGACTGTGTGTGCATGAACATGCCTGTGTGTGCAAAGAGACAGGAAGTGCAAACATTGTACGGGAGACAGTGTGTGCCGGGGAACAATGAATCACAGGGAAGACAAAGAGAGACAGAAGCTGAAGTGACTCTATGCCCACGGTTAACGGTATATTTCCTCCAGCTCGCCAAGGAAGTGCGTGTTAGCATGAGCACTGAGCGAAGGGGGCGGGGTGGGGGGAGTAGGGGGAGGATGGGGGCAGGAATGAAAAGGTTCAGGTCAACTTCATCTCTGCACTCATATTCTCCACTCTATCTAACCTCAATCTGGGCAATACAGACTCAGCGCTGGCCTGGAAAGTTTTCCCATTGAGATTCCAAAAAAGCAATCTGGTGAACTTCATTTCCGTTCCTCACAGCTGACCACGAATAGCGCCTACGGGCAGTTGGGTTCAATGTGTTGCATCAATACATTGTTCAGAGGAGCCTTTGGAAAGGCTTTTTGATGAGGACTGGCTTTCAAAGCAGCCTATTCCCTGACTAAAGCATCTGCCCTCACGAGGGCAATACTGGATCATATCTGTATTGTTTTGGGGAATCACAGCTGTACATTAGCAAGATGAGATTATCAGTGGTGATCTGGAATTCATATAAGGACTGAAAAACAAGGTAAGAAATGGTCAATCCAAGGTCACAAAAACTAGCCTACTCGCACCTTTAAATTTTACAGGTAAAATGGTAAAAATCTATCAGTTTAACTCATTCAGTGCCAGGTTCATTTATGCAGTTTTCACCCAGTGCCACCATTAACCGCAATAGAAATTTCTGTATCTTTCAGGACCCACAGAATATCTTAAGCTTGGATGAGAATTAAGTGCGATATCTCAAAAGAAAGGGGTGATTCTCTTCTTTTACCAGAAAAAAAGTAGGTCTCTAACCCACTCCAGTTGTATTGGCTTTTGAGAACCTGACGCCGTGATGTAAACCACATGGACTGCTCGCGTCCTGCTTGCCAGGACTGTTGCTGAATTCCGGCTCAGTCTCGCTCACCAGTACTGGCACCGCCGTACAACAACACCCTGAAAAATTGTTTCTTTGATTGTTGGCTGACGATGTGAAGTTCCGGTACCGGGACCGCTACTGGATCCAGAGACAGAGTTTGCTCTTAGCTAATGACTTTGGCATTTTCCTACTCTTCTCATAGAGAAAAAACACTCCACAACTAGGCTAATTGGCAGACTTGATGGCACACCTTTCACTGGCGAGAACTTGTTTTTTGTTATTGTAACATAGTTAATGATGTATTTGCCAGCTTTTCTGCGTTCAGGATGACCCCAAACTTCGTGAAATGTTGGGGAGAAAAACAAAAAAAATGAAAAATCCGTCAAAATTTGTCGTTGGCACTGAGGTTTATCTAATACACGGCAACATTAGTGTTAATGTTTTCTTTCAAGGTTCCTCCTCTACTCTGCTGATGAGGTGGAAATGCCAGCAGGAGCTAACAGTTGTCAAACATGATGCCATCTCTTCTTTTAAACATCAAATAACAAAGCTTCAGTGTAAAAGGAGTAGTTGCACAAGAATCAGCAGGGCTAGAACTCACAACTGTCAAAAAGTGGGAAAAAAAGTGTTTTAACTTCATTTTAATTTCTGTTGTGCTGTCCATGTTTTTATCCACACCATGGTAATAGCACCTGTCCTTATTTTACTTTTGTGAACTTTTGTGCACTGAGACTCAATTGGTGTATGAGAAAATCACAAAACCAAAACCAATTCATCCTCTGACGCCCTGCAGCATTTCTGGTAGTATTTCCACAATTACCTGCGCTCTACCTGCTATAATTAACTAACTGCATGTCAGGAAGAGAGTTGTGATCTGGAAGCTTTTCTTTGCTGCTTTTCCCAAGTGCTTGCTCAGGGTGGAATTGGTTGGGAATATGTTAATAGTACTGCGAAGAGAAGAGTTGAATAGATTTTCTTTATGCATTAAGAATCACAACATTGATCGATTTATGTATAGTTGTTCAATCAATACAGTGTAAAAATAACAGAATTTCAATATGTTGTTGCAGTCGTTAAAACTGCAAAGTGTCACTTTCCCTTTTTTCCTACTGCAAAAACAAAGACATTAAAAAGTGTGTATCACTGGACTTTGGAAGTGTGGACAGACAGATTTAGTTACCTGTAAATTGTGCAGGATAAATGTTTCCCTTATTTTCAAACTATCTCTCCAAACTAAGCTGAACTCGGCTGCGCAGAGCTAAGATACACTGACTCGGCCTGGCAGAGGCTGCATGTTTACAGTACAGACATCAGAGGCGTTTCAGTTTACTGACTTGAGGCAAGGAAGAAAATAAACATATTTCTTTAAGTGCCAAACTATAGCATGTGCCAGACAGAAAAACAGAGAGAGGAAGTAAAGTATAACAGCTGCCACCCAAACAAAAGTTTAAAAGGTATAAACTGAAAATAAGGACAGAAAAAAATACAGAAAGTACTGTACAGATGTTCAATCGAACTGTTACACAAAAACAGCAAAAATAAAAGCTACACCAGCATGCAGGCCCCCTCACAGCCATATATACTTTTGTCTACCTCCTGGCCTTTCCCAGCATGCTTTGCTGTGATGGGTGACTTGATCCTCATTCCAATCCCAGCACACGCCTCTCTGAGGAGCAGCGATGTCACTGGAACATGGAGGAATAGAAATCAAATCTGTTTGAACTGAGAGCGAGCGAGGGAGTGTGCGCCAGAGGACAAGGCAGTGATAACGGATAAAAGAGGAGGGGGAGTAAAAGAATGATATTTGAATTATGTAACTCAGCTCAGGGATGATTTGGACGATTCCACCGTTGACACCAACATCATTTCTCATTACCTGAGAGCTGTGTGTGCCCGACGCTTTGCCTCGTCCCGCGAGTCATCTCGCACTCAGCTATCAGAGTGAGAGAGGGAGAGAGAGAGAGAGAGAGGGAGAAATAGAAAGTAGGAACAGAATGAGGTGAGATGTTTGGGAGATGAGGGACAAAAAGGCTGAAGGCACACATTTGTACAAACTGGAAATATATGAAGCGAGATGTTCGCACATTTAAATTACTGTGAAAGATTGACTCTGTTCACAGGTATTTTACATACTGCAGCCTGCCTCATGTACACATCAACCAGCCGCAGATAAAAGACTGACTCTTCTTCAAACTTGTGTACCCTGTCAAGTCTATCACCACGCCATCGCCTGGTTGTGTTGAATGCATGATGGTCTCACCTGATCCATGCTAATCATTGTCAACAAAAAGTAGAAAAAAAAAACAAAACAGAAAAAAAAAAACAATTGCTGACAAGATGCTGTGAAAGTCTTGAAATCATTAACTACTGCTTTCTTAACATACACAAACGCCAGTGGAGACTTAGACAAACTGCTGATGATTTTTTTTGTCTTTGGAGTCACTTTCAGGAGAAGCAACGAGTAAAAGGCTGTAAAGAAATCTGTACTGAAACATTAGCACAGCCAGAAAAGAGACTTTGGGTATGCATCAGAAAAGTTTATTTTTTTTTTAAATACTGTTGACACAAAAATGGACACTTAGTGAATCGTTCAACATGTTTAAAGTTTTATAATTGTTTCCTGTAGCCATACTTCATTTAATAAATCTAAATCCCACTGAGACAGCTATTAGATGTCAAATTTTTTGTAGATTTCATATTTTTAGACGAAATTCAGACATTGCACTTGAACCCATTATTCGATAACTACTTATTTCAAAAAGTGCAACTGTGAGTTGCATAACTGATCTCCAAGTACATAACCAAAATAATAATGATAGCCGTTGAGCAATATACAGTTGGACCTCTGTTAGCTGGCTTGTCTAAACTTGGTCTAAATTTAGACGTCTAAAAAAATTAAAGTTTTAGACCTGTGGTAGCCTGATTTTAGACCAGTCGTCCAGACTACATTTAGACGTCAGTCGGAAAAGCCTATCCATTGCATACAGTCATATTATACAGTCATTTTCTACATGTTGAATAGGGAGACAGACTTCTGTCCAGGATGCAACGACAAAGTTGTACCATACTAAATATATTCAGTTATTCTGTTATTGTTAGCATGATGCTAGTTAATGGGAACAGTCCAAAAAGTAGAACTTAATTAATACTTAATTAATCCCAGAGGGGAAATTTAATATTTTATTCAACATTTATGCACAATGCACAGTGCTAACTTAACAGGATCTGTCAGAAGCCATTGTTTATGAATGAAAATTGTTTTCTACACATTCAAAACATCCCACAAAGACAGTCAAGGTTAATAACTTGCAGTGGTCTTGTAAATCCTCTAAATATCTGATTCATCTCAGAATCAGCTTTATTGGCCAAGCATGCAACACAAAGGATCTGATTTACATGAGGTATACTTGTTTTAAATACAGTATTAACATGAATATTAAGTCATGGTGTGCAGAGGTACATGTCCAATTAGAAGATGTTGTTTGCAGTCAGAATATGTTGGGGAGTTGTTAGATCTTGGCTTTCTACTTGGGTAATGGACCTGAGCTTTGGTTCCTCGAGGACTCATCTTAGTCTTGATCACTGCAGACTTGAGATTTGACCTGTACTTGAAAACTGTGGACTCAAGGCTCAACAGAGTTTTGTGATTCAACTACAATCCTGTCTTTTCGTTCTGTGCTGTTGTCTGCCAGGACACGGCTTCATGCTCTGACCATACATAGACAGGTATTTTAAAAAGCAGAGGTTTTCCTCCTACATTTTAAAAGACTGACCTGCCCACCCCACAGCACAGAAATAGCTGAGAATGTTCACATAGGCATGCCGGACCAGAAGGAGATGATAATGTGTAATCAGTATGTCACAGCAAACACCCCAGAGAACATTGTGCACATGCATACTGAGCATCTCTGTACTGTGAGTGGAGTGTAGAACTGAAAAGGCATGAGTGTGATATATTTATTTGCCCTTGCACCATAACACAATGATGTAAACATGCAGTTAAAGTACCAAGCAGATGTGTGTTGGTAGCCCACCAACTCGGCGCATATGCAATACATGCAAACAACAACTGTCACACACAGGTCATGGTAATGTAGTCAGCAACTTTCAAAACTAGTACTTCTACAGTCCACACACACACACACACACACACACACACACACACACACACACACACACACACACACACACACACAGAGAGAGAGAGACAGAGAGAAAGAGAGAGAGAGAGAGAGAGACAGAAAGAAAGGAGTTTTTCAAAAATCTTTGCCTTGAAAACTTTTTTTTCAGAGACCTTAAACTCAGTTTGCATGTGCAGAAAAGGCCAGAGCACGTAGAAAGCTACACCTTTTCCAAGCTCCACTGTTGTATTTAGAGCATCTATTAGGGTTTTTTTTTCACATTGATGATATGAACTGATTTCTATGCCCTCATTTATAATGTCTAAAATTTGTGTGAGAGGGTAAGTGTCAGATGAGCAGCTGAAGAAACAGCCCTGTCTTTACAATTTGCAATATTTACAATAAATGATACGTTCAATGGTCAAAAGCCAGCATGGGATTTTTCAGAGAAAAAGGACTACTTAAGGATGTAGAGGACAGGATAAGCAATGCTTCATTCATAGGGGGACGCCCAGAATTTAATGCAAACTTGTAGGTCCTCACAGGATCTTTAATAGCCATTTTTTAAAATTTTCTACAATGTATTTATCCTTTTACTATGCCATAATCTTTTCATTTTGTTTGTGTTGTAGTCCATTATATCTTTTTTCTTAAACTGAAGTAGACATAAAATAAAAATGCGAGCTGTTGTGTCGCTCAAGCACAGTTTGCGAGTTGGCATTTGAAGGATATATTGGTATTTCACAACCTCAATACTCTGCTTTTAAAGAGGCTCAGTAAACAGACTACAAACTGTGACTACAATATTGATGTTTTTGACGTGCTGCTGATAGTTTTGTGTCAGGCTGAGTATCTTCAGTTATGGATTAGGGAGTATGCATTCTGAAGTACGCTAAACACACACACATGTATGAGCTGTGCCAGTCTGCTCCTCTGAGCTGTGTCGGTGTGGGGGTGGTTGGTGCATGGCACATCGCTTAAAATAGACATTCACTCCCTTGCAAGAGGAGGTTGACAAAGAAGTGAGAGGGAATGAAAGCGCATGAGGGAGTGAGAGAGTGTGACAGAGAAAGACAAAGAGAGGAGAAGAAAGGAAGACAAGCGGAGAGAAAGACAGAATCCTCTGCACCGAACTATCTCAAAGGAAACAAACACACACACTCACACACATCTGTGAGAGTTTGAAATGGAGTAGATGAGGGAAAATGAATATTTCAGGTGATGGGATGAGGCATGTTTCCAGGAAAGTGAACAGGGACAGGTGCAGAGAGGAGAGATGAAGTGCAGATGACAGGCACAAAGCTGCAAACAGAGACACTGTACTTGTTAATTTGATAAGGAAGAGAAAAAATCAGCCCTGGCAGGCTGTTTTAGACCACCAAACACCTCTAAAAAGTCTGACAAAAGCACAACTCATTTTCCAAATACCACTCTTATGTTAAAAAAAAAAGCTCCAAACACACGTTAAGTTACTGATAATGTGACCAAAAAAGACAGCCTGCATATATACGCTAAGACTGCAGAAAACTGATCAATTATACATATCCACATCAAAGGCCCAATGTCTCTTTGTCACATGAGACTAATTTTGAGATGACTTTGAATCAGAACAGTAAAAAAAAAGTGAATAACACTTTGCTCTGGATGGATGTTAGTACATTTCATCATTGTTAATCTCTACTCGCCAACGCCTAAAGTTGAGCAGTCAGCAGAATAAAGCTGGCTTGTGTGTCATCTTTCTCTCTCTCTCTTCCTCCACCCTCCCTCAGCTACACACATCTTCCGAGTGCTTAAGATAAGTGACAAGACATCAGAGCCAAAGACGCGCTTAAATGCCAAGAGAAAACTCAGCGTTTGTGCGTGGGTGGATGCGTCCTTCTGCGTGAGTGCGTGCAAGCTCTCATGCATATGTGTTTTAAAAAATGCATGTAAGTGTGTCAGGATAAGAAATTTGAGTTGAGTTTTATCATTTTTTATCACACTTTACCTTTGTGCGAGTGTACACACATCCTCCTGTGCTGTAAATGTTTGACTGTGACGTCTACATGCGAGTGCCCCTCTCTTCTCGGTAAGGTTATCCATCACTCCGAGCATCAGATGACATCACCACCGACCCCCATCCTGCAACTCTTACCCTTCCACCCACCCTACGTTCTCCTCTCTGATGGGTTGGCTTGGTGCCACCACCCACCTTCCTCCCCCTCCTTCTCCTCCTCCTCCTCCTGTCCCGCATTTAACTCAACTGTGTTGTAAAAGTGCTGAATCGTCAATGCTGGCCACAGTATATACACGGCTGACGTGGGTCAGGTGCAGGATGTGTTGTTGTGTGCATATGTACGTTGATGTATATATGTGTATATTAGGCTGAGGATTTTTAATCAATACAGTGCCACCTCGCAGCCTCTGCACTCTTGTAAGGCCGCAGCTGCGTTAATGAACTGCGATCCACAGGGGGTACATTATGACAGCCACTAACTTTATTATTAAGCCCCAGCAGCAGCCCTGGGAGAGAATTGTGGCTTAAAGTGAACCCTTAATGGACATGTAGTTTTTTTCCACTCTCCCAGTAATGTGGACTTATGTTCTGGACAGTGGGTCTTAATTGCCAATCAATGTAAGGGGAGGTGTTGTGAACGCTGGGAAGTTTTTTTTTTTCTTTCCTGGACTGAGTTCAGCAAGCGATCACTGGACCTTAATGGAAGGATCCACTAAACCTCCAAGACTAAAAACGTTATTGCTTTTTTCTCCTATTTGAGCCATAAAACACTCTTAGAGAGAATGTGAGCTGAGGGCAGTGATATGTCACTACGTAAAGGCTTTAAAGCATCCCCGAAGCCTGAAATCAAGTCCACTGTGTCACAATTACACTGACATGATAGGAAACATATTTCAGAGACAATGTTGCTTTAAATCTTGGTAACATGAGCTGACATTACAAGTGTTGTCAAGTGATGTTTTGTCGAAGCAGCACAGCAGAATGACTTAAACCTATAGCTGGCTGTTGTACTTGCTGTATATATTCTATAGGAGTCAATACTGTGCATTCAGAAAGTGCTGAGCTTTGCTTTTTCCTGTCCTCAATTTCTCCTACAAATATTACCAAATACAAAACACTTTAATTTGAATTATATAATCTGTGACTAATGCCTCTTTTTCTCCTGGAATATTAACAGTGCATTTGCATTTCTCTCTCCTATAATGGTGTTTGGGATTTTGTGAAGTCAAATAGCTGCTGAAGTTTTTAAGCTTTAGTGGAGACCATTTCATTAAAAAGCAGATATGATGACTGCCATTTATATGTATATTATTTTGCACATCTGATACTGAAGGCACCATCTCCTCTGTAATACCCCAAACAGCTAAAGTCATCAAAGTAGTGTGGGCCACTCTTTATAGCAGAAGAGTTTTCTTTTTGAGGTCCTATATAATGAATGAAATAGATTTTACTTGCTTAGACTTAAACTGTAAACTTAGGTCATCACTTGTCATGCAGGTTAAGCTACTGACCTTGCAGCTCTCAGAATATAGAAGTGAAAGGGCCTCTGCATTGTTTCTGCAGCCCAACTACAAACTGGGAAAACTTCTAGTGATTTGAATTTGTTCATGTGTTGATGTAATGATGGGAGTGATTGCCAGAGGCATGTATGCATAAGAACTCCCACACTTACAGATTCCACTTTCACCCATGCTAGTGTGGTTTTGCAGAGTCAAGATGTCAGAGGTTAGAACTGGACATGCCAGCTATTTTGATGATACAAAATCCAACACAGATGTCAATAACCTTTCACCCACAGACTAAAGGAAAAAGCAGTTGCATTTTGTACTTTCCAACAACTTTGCCTGCTACAGTTAGTGCTAATTTTTTGGTTATTGTTAACCATTTTATCTCAGACTGCTTCAACAGCAACATAAAGACCACATAAAGATCAACAAAGGGAAAGACAATAGGAACAGCATTCAAAATATAACATTCCACTCAGAGGCATTTTACACAGTTGCCTTCTGTCGTCCAGAGTAAGATTCTGGATTATATATGTGCTGTGTTGATTCAGGCTCTTCTGGAGCGCTCTCAATGTTTTGTTTTGGTGTTTTTCCACCTCTGCATTCATCTGCAGCTACCTGTAATAGAGCAGCGCCTCATTATCATAGCATGAGGTTAGAAAGTAAGACACTGCTGATCTCCACAGACACTAAATATATAATTTTTATTTGCAACTCACTTTAAAGTCTTGCTTTGAAGGAAACCAGAGACATGTTGTAAACATCTTTAAAAAATTATATTGTAGGGGACCTTCAATATAAGGAATATGGTTCTCTATATTTTTTTCTGAAGAATGAATGTAGAAACTTCAAACTTATACATCGCTCCCTTATATGAATCGTAACACACTAATGAAATGTTACTGCTCCCTCCTTCTCATTTGGTATTCAAGAGCTTTGTTCATGTTGTTCAGGTTCAAAATTTTAATTTGATGAGTGTGACAAGGTGCTAACACTTCGCCTGAACGGTCCGTCCAAACAAGGTTTAAAATATCAAGCTGCATACATGATTGCTTACTCATTCCCATGTGTCCCCAATCATAATAGGGTGGTTGCATTCTATATTATGTTTATAATTACAACCGTCATGGCACATTAACTCAGTCAGCCTTGATGAAATTAATATCAGAAAATGAGCAAGGCTCCTTTAATATGAAATGTGTAGTTTGTATGTGGTTGGATGTACAGTTTATTTCCGACTTCATGGCAAGTGAACAGTTTTAGCGAAGGCCGAATGTCTTGTCAATACTTGTCAGTGGATCTAAAATTATGGGTTAATTTAATCAGAATGTCTCTCATACAGTGTGTAATTATAGACCACCATTTTCTTGACCTGCATGACAGATTGATCTTTTGCTCACTAACAGGCCAGATTCATCACATATAGAGAAGAGTATAGAGAGCAGCGCTGAGCCTGAAGTGGACTCGCCGCTGATAGAGGTGTTTATCTTTCTAGCCCATTACAGAAGAACCTGTTTGGAGAAATCTACTAGAAGCAAAACAATTTGTGAAGAACCTCATTTCATAACTTAATGGGCCATATTATTACATTGATTCTTGATTTGCTCACACACAAAACTGCTCCCTCATGGTTCAGTTGACATGATTGCACACTACAAAGAGAAAAATGTGGGATGTGTAAATGGTTCTCTCTTGTCTTGTCTATCAAAATGTGTAGCTGTCTATTCTCGTCACAATTTGTATTTCAATGTGTTTGAACATCGAGTGACATTCACTGGGAATGAGGAAGAGCATTTGTAATGTTTTCATGTGCACCCATCTGATGATCATGCCATGACTCCAAGTCTGTGCATTAGCCATAGGGGAGTGTACATATGTGTATGCATGTGCAGGTTGACCTCAGTCAGTGTTGTCCAGCTGCCCCTGCAGCATGTTGCATGATGGGTGTGTGGAGCTGGTCTGGTCAGGAGAACAGCAGCTGTTTGGCGGTCTGGTCTGCTTCTTCAGAGGAAGACATATGTGGGTCTGACTAGCCAAGCTGTTCAGAGGTCACCCCAGAATGAACCCTTTATGAGGTCACATGCAAACAGAAATTGCAGTTGCCAGGCTGCAGCATGTACATCATTTTGCAGAATTAATGATTTTTTGTGTTTTGCTCGAGTCAGGCTGCCCTCAGGTGCATTGAGAAAAACAAACGGGTAGTGTTTTCTTTTTTTTTTTAACTCTTTATTTATTAATTATTTTTTTAACTCTTTAGTATCATATTTATTACATACTTTTATATACTTCTATCAAATCAATATGATCAACAAATTACTAAAAAAAACCACCCTTAATACAGTCTGTTAAATGATGAAAATGTCCTCTTGTAGTTTATTAGTTTCCAAAAACATCTAATTTATCAAACAAGACAAATCAATATATTTGTTAAATTTTAAGGACATGTTGTTTGTTTGGTTTTCAGTAGAAAGTGACTTAAACATTTCAGCTCCAAAAAAATTAAATTTTTCTGGCCATAATTTGTGGTGTCAGGCATTAAAGGGCTACGGTTTACATTGTCCAAATGGCACACACTGCAATTTAAATCATAATAAATCTAAAAGTTCGATGACATTTCTATTAGCTATAAAATTCCTTCAGTATTTCCCTTTAACATCAAAAATGTAGTAGATTAGAATCGTAAAATCAAAGAGAAGCAAAGTCATTTTTCAGTTCTTTGCGAGCCTTTACAGCGATAAAAAATGTGAACATAAGGTGAGTTTATTAAAAATGCATCATAGTGTTTTGATGCTGAGAATACCCAAATGCAACAGTAAGCAAAGTCTACTTATAAGTGGGCAGTAAGTGTCAGCCTCAGAATGACCTCATTATGCAAGTTAATACAAAGAAAAACAAAACACTGAGAGTGGCTTCGTTGTGGTGGTGTCATTGTAATGTTTATAGAAAAGAAACTTTAAAAAGGCCAGGCTTGTGAATGATTTATTGGCTGAGTAGTATGTGACAGTCTTGCTTATCCTGAAAAGTCAGAGCCTCTTTTGTGGCGCAGTATTAAAATCCACTTCATAAAAGCAGCCGCGTTAAAGGACTCAGAGAAGGAGGCAGGAAGCTCAGGACTCTCCACATTTCAGCAATAAAATCATCTCCTGCCTCAAGTCATTTCATAAAATGGCAGCGATAAAGAGATAGACTGCTCTTTATTGTTTTTAGATTGCGGGCACTTTGCGAACTCTCCTCGCCTGTGTCTAGAATAATGTAAATATTTCACAGCTATGTGCAGGCTAATACATAAAACAGATATATAAGTCCAATAAAGCTGCATAACTGTTTGTGGCTGGCTTCCCCTGAGGGGCCAAACAATTTAGCAGGAGGGAAAATTCCCCAGTCAGCTTACAGAGGGGACACTGAGGAATATTCCCTGATGAATGCCACACACCTGCTAGGCCTCGCAGACCAACAGAGACAGCATAAACATAGCTGTTTTCTTGAAAAGAAGCAGAAAGTATCCCAAAAGTGCTAAGCAGGAGAATAAATCCTCATGATATTGTCTGAAAATGTGGTTTCAAAGCTTTTTATCTGAGCAGCTCGATCAGGCCAAATCATTTGTTTAATAACTGGTGGAATAGGAATGAGAATCTCCCGTTTTGAGGTAGTGCTTTCTGAGAACTGAGGAGTACGCATAGCTTGGATATATGCAGACTCATGCTTGTAAACAAAAAGAAGAGGAAATGAGTTTATTGAACTTTTTATCGGTAACTGCTCTGTGGCGTTTATCGCTCACACGGGCCCATAACCAATAAGGCACAGAACAGACTAGGAAATTGTTGCGCACTGTGGGCAGCATTGCAACTACGCAATCACCTAGGACAGCAGCAGCAGCAGCAGCACCAACGAAAAAAAAAAAAGCCTGTCCGAATAAATAGCAGCAATCAGAGCGGATGCCATCTCTTGGCATTGCTTTAAATGCCAGCAGCAGACAAGATACTCATTAGGAAGATGATGATGGAGGGGAGTATTCAGATGGACTCGTGGAGGAAACACAACAGCAGACAAAACAATGGGCCCAAATTGTGAGGAACGATTAGCATCATTTTCAATGTCATTCACTTTGTTTTGTTTTGGGAACACAACAAGGACGATGAATTATGAATTTTCTGAAGCGTTTTTCGGGATTGTTAGGCATACATCAAAGCACTGTTGAAAGATGGGAAAATATGACAGCATACTAAATTTGCATTGCTGACTTTTGTTTTTATAATTGGCTGTGAATTACATTTTGACAGGAACTATCATTATGAATTTCTGAAAACTTGGCAAATTATTGAAAACTTAAGACAAAGGACGTGCAAAATATGGGTGACAGAGTTTCTGGAGAAATATTGCTGACAGGAAAGAGAATGTTATGTTTAAAAATGTTACTAAATTGTGCCATGGTATGCTGCACAGCTCGAGAAAACATGGATGTGATGTACAGTCAGTGCTGTTTGGACTCCACAGCTTTTCCCTACATTCCATCAAAATGAAACAGGGATGAAAAAAGCAAAATTGCACCAAATAGACCCACTGGTGGCCTCATCTTTAAATCTAAGTCTTTGCTTGCTGTCTTAAACGATTACAGAGAAATGAAAACACGCATGGGGATTTACAGGCGTACGGCCTGACCTCTCATCCATTTTACCTACCACTGGGACCCATTGTGACCCTAAAATTGCCAATATTGAAGCTCAGTGGGGTGAGTAGGAATTGAGGTGGAGGGGGGCTAAAAGACGAGACAGCTACAGCTGTGCTCGGCTCTTGCCTCACAGAGACAGAAGAAGAGGGGGGAAAAATCATAATCTCACGCTGTCTGATGCAAGCTTAAATGCTCTATTGCTTTGCTGATCACGTCGCGCTCCCATCATCTTTCCCTGGCGTCTTCAAGACAAATCTGGGCCGCTGCCATGCACACACACGCAAACCACTATGTACGGCAACAACAGCAGCTGAGGCGTGATGAATGACGCTCTCGTCTCGACGGGTCCCTGTCGATGCATGTTCAAGTGGATGGGATTGAATTTAACCATAGAAATGACAGGCCATTCTTTTTTGGGGCATGGGGCAGGCTACATGAATGGTTTGTGGTGACGAGGGGCTCGGTGATTGATGCCCCGTGGGGAAAAGCTGGTGAATCTGTGGAGAAGGACGAGGGAAAACCACCCTTGTCATAAATGTTAGCGTCTGGAAGATCCAAGGGTTGTGGTACTTTTCCTGAATCCAGCCACTCCTTATCCTCTTTACCACCTGATCCCTGTTCCAAGGAGCTTATACCTTTCCTCATCCAACTAAAATGGTCCTATTTATCACAGCCTGACATTTCTATCATCAGTGGCCCACAATGTTGTTGGATGAGACACTTGAGTAAAGCTCTGGAGAGCTGCAGGGGAAGATGCAGCTGCTTGTGCCAGTCTCCAAAAGATAAATGCAGCCTGCACTTTAAAACTTGTAGGTTACATCTGCCCAAACCTGACTATCCCAGTTTGTGCTCATATGGTATGGAGGCAGCTTTTAATTTAGGCATTTGCTGATGTTTAAGCGTGTAAATTGTACTGGTTTAAGGGAAAAATCACATATGGACTCTCCAATACGCCTTGCTGACAAACCGTCAACCTGAGGCTGAGTTTGAGGTTGCTTTACTGCTATTGTCCAGATCAAAAACTTGGCCAAGGCTAGAGGTCTGATTAAAATGTTGATAGGGACCAATAAGTTATAAAAGGCAAGTTACTGAATCTAAGTGACTATTAAAAAGTAACAGAAATACAAATGAGTTACAGCATTATGAAAATCATAAATTTAGTTGGAAAAGCTACTTTTGTGTCACATTTCTTTGCAATAGTCTTGTTATTATGTAGGGTGACCATACGTCCTCTTTTACCTGCACATATCCTCTTTTTGGGGGGCTGTCCGGGCTGTCCAGGTTTGTCCAGGTTTGTCTGGGGAAGCTTACAAAATCCCTCAAATGTCTGTAGTTTTGTACGTAAGTTTCGATTTTGTGTCATGTGGACTTACTGAGTGAAAGGCGTGTAAAAGACACTCAATCTGATTCAAAAAACTCTCAAAATTAACCTGGTGTAACTCTGTGACTCCGCCCCTGCATAGATGTGTCCTCTTTTTGGGAAGTCAGGATATGGTCGCCCTAAACTATGACACTTGCATCTCAATCAGGTAATTTTCCAGTTAGTATGTCGGCCAAGAAGGGCAGAGGATCTGAGATGACCCAGTACATCTTTATGTTATCAATCAAACAATGTGAATGTGAAGAGGACCAAAACAAATGCAACAGAGGATCAATCTGGTGTGAAAAATACTTAAAAGCTGAGAAAAAGGGCAAAAGGGAAACACTGGTTTACTGGCACTTTGTAAATCAGCGTTTTTATTGACAGAACTGTGAAGTAGAGCCATAGTCAAGCAGCATATTTTGATTTATCAGGAGTGATGTTATTGTTACCGTAACCAGGAGATTTAAAGAGAGTCTAACCTGGACAGGATAATGATGGGAAAGGAGTGACGGGCATAATGGCGGAGTGATGGGTTATGTTGGGGATGCCTAAAGTTAGCACTAACTGCTAACTGCTGATGGCAAACAGATAACAGAAACTAATAGCCAATATACTCGTAGTCTTAGGGCCTGATTATACAACCATAGCTGTAGGAAGCTGCACCCAAGAAAATCCTGAAAGTGAAGTTTGGCTCCCAGCATCCTCTGTCCCTTCTACTACAAACCCTGTTCAGATCTATGAAGCAGGGAGCTTGATTTTCACGATATTTGTCTTACTCCTTTCATATTATACCTTTCAACCAAGTGTCAAAATCTAGAGGACGGACTCAATGTAAATCTCTTGACTGCAGTTTGAGTGAATGACCCTTGTTGGCCACTGCAAATTAGTTCTCTGAAAGCACCAGTCTCAACTTTTGGTATGAGGAGCATGTCTTTAACAAATGCAGCAAGAGATGGAGAGAAAAAAATGGAAACAATGGGCTGGTCTTTTAAACCAGCCTTAAAGGAACAGCATCTACATCTGGTGAACTTCAAAGGGCTGTGTTTCCCATCACTCGTGTGGAAATTGACTACCACAAATTTAAAGACCGAGGATCCATGGATTATAGCATCAGAAGTCTATAAGCTGTAGGTGGGTGATATACCATATTGACCTGGGAAACCTATATGGATCATTCACCAAAGGGGGAAACATCACTGAGCGCATAAAACCCCTGGAAAGCTCTTCTTAATGTGTATTAAGAGGATATTGAGAAAGTAACATTTAACCCTGGGAACCTACGGAAGATATGCTTCTGCACCCAGGAACAGCTTTACCTGTGCCATCATGGAATAATGTAGACCTGACATCAAACACTCCTTGACTTTATTAGAGGAGTTGAGTTGAGTTGAGTACAACATAGTAGTACGAAGTTAACACTAATTATATCATCATTATTATTTTGTTTTTGAAAGGTAGTTATTCCGCTGACAGAAGTAGCATGCCCTTATTTTTTCATGATGCGATTGACTGATCTGCCAAATTTACAAAACTCATCCATCAAGGTAAATGTTTGCTAATAATTCTGATATATATATATATTTTTTGTTAGATTAAAAATAACTACAGTCAACCTCAACAGCAAAGTAATAACACATTTGCACATAAATTTGTTAATCCTTAAAATCTCAGTTTAGCCAATGGTGTGCCTTGCTCACAGACTCCAAATGTTACTCAACCTGAAAAGCCCAACACTACAGAAAACCTGTCTTTACACACAATCCTCTTCATCGCCGCAAACAATTACAAGTGGACCTGGCATCCCTGCGAAGGGACTCCAGCGCTCGAAAGGAAATATGGAAGCTTCCAGAACAATGGAGGGGTTAAGAGGGTGAGACCCCGGGAAGGATTAGGAGCATGTTTCTCACTATCTTCACTTCTGCAGGCATCTCTGCATAGCCCTCCCAGGCCCTGCAGCCCGCTCCAGTTTGGCTCGGTCTTCTTAAACGCTCAAGTCCTGGAAGCAGCGAACACATTTGGAGTTCCAGTCTCCAAATCAGCCGGGGTAACAGACAAGGATGCATGATGTCCCCCAAGTGTGCTCCAACACACACACACCCTTCCCCCTTTTTTTCCTCTCTCTCTTTCTTTCTCTCTCTCTCTCTCTCTCTCTCTTATAGACACACACACACACACACACACACACACACACACACACACACAGAAGGGAGAGGGTGTGCTGCTAATTCGCTAACATCATTGTCGTGAAGAAGAATGCAATTAAAACTGCTCTTGATAATTAACCCAGATCCATCTCCAACCCCATCTCTGCTGATTATATAAACGGCCATTACCAGGGAGCTATGAATATTCATCAGTCGTGAGTGGTCTTAAGATGGGAGTCATTTTATCTTTTTGGGTGGGTGGAAATGGGGTGTGGAAAGGGGGATGGAGTGGGGGAATATTTTGCTGTGAGTGATTACCACACAGTTGGGGAGAATGTAATCCATGGCTGCAACTTCAGAATGATTTGAGTTGGTTTGTTTGTCGTTAAGTTGGAAATTTCTTTATCTACTTGTTTGTTCGTTCTATTTGAGGTTTTGCTGTACGAAGTATTGAATTAGATTGCATTTATGTTAATTAGATTCATGCATAGTAGCTTTTACAAAACAGCAACTGCAAAAACTTTCTCTCAGTTTAATGAATTTGTTTCACAGCTAATTGCTGTTATCCCATAGTTATTACATGGAGAAACTCACTTAAATATACTAATTCTGTTATCAATGCAGAACCATATAACCTTTGAGAGCAAGGGCCAACTTATCAGGGCTTCTGCCATAGCCAAAAATCGATGATGGATGACTTACTGAATTGACTTATCTTTCTGTGCGTTATCAATCAATCAAATTTTATTTATATCGTGCCAATTCACAACAGTCTTCATCCCAAGATGCTTTCCAAAGAAAAAGAGCAGGTCTAGACCACACTCATTGTTTAATGAATTATCAAGACCCAACCTTAAGATGGGACAGTTTTGACCCATTTCATCAAACTTGAGTGACAGTGGCAAGGAAAAACTTCCTTTTAACAGGCAGAAACCGTGGGGAGGACCAGACTCATGATAGACAGCCATCAAGCCGTCAAAGAAATAAGAAATAAGAACAGTGTAAAGTTAGATTATTTTCTGAATTTACATATATGCAGATATCTTATCATAGATGTGAATAAAAAGCTCAGTTGTTGTTAGACTGAGGGATTCAGTGTTTGTATTCTGATGGATTGCGTCCACCTCTTAACAGCTGCCTCAGACAGGGAGCATGATGGCTGCAGTGCATGACAGCTCCAGCTAGCACTGATGTTGTTCTCACACAGGCTGCATGGTTGCTGCTTGAGTTGTCTTTCTTTGTAAGTTTTACCCCAAGTAAGGTCATACCATCTTTTATTGATATGTTTTGGCTCTATAAAACTCATCAGGATTGGTTCTTTACATGGAGTGGTGCGAAAGTGATCTGCTGTATCACATCATATTGAATCCTCCCTTGGGGATAAATACAGTTCTCCTTATCGTATCTTATCGTATAATTTACTTCACATTGTATCTAAAACACATAAACAAGATAAACATAATTATCACCATTGATTTAACGGGCTGTTTGCTACATCTGAAGTAGTTTCAGGGGTTAAGCTTTTAGCAAATCATATACTTTGCATCACAGACATGTCCTTATTTCACATCCCGGCATGAAAACATTTGCGTGTACAGAGAGAGTGACAGAGAGGTGGAGACGAAGAGAAGGAGAGATTGTGTTGAAAGGTGTCTCAAATTACCTCTTGTTATCTGATCAGTTAAATTATGTTACCTGCTTAAAGCCAACGTAAATGATTACTGTTTTTTATGAATACTTCTTTCCTAACCAGGGTACTTTCAGGTGTTGGTCTTATGAGTAATCCTCCTTGTTTACATTAAAAATGGGGATTTAATTTAACACAAAGATGCCAATGTAGATGCATAAGCAGAGAGATAGATGCAGAGTGCAATTTAAAACAAACAAAGAAAAATGTTCTTAAAACTCCTCCGAGGAGTTTTTAGTATCAATTAAAAATAGCAAAAAAAGGGGGGCAAGATTGGCAATTTATATACTGTGTCATTTTTAGGTAGGTGTCAGTCAAGCATCTGCAAAATCAGCCTTGTTTTACGATTTCCAAATCTAATATTCACTTATTCACAATAAATGATTTATTTGATTATCAAAAGGCAGCAGAATTACATTAATAGACACCATAGACTGTATATAGAATGGACAGCGTCTGCCTCCTCACTGGGTGAAGTCACTCCGAGAACAGCACCCTCTGGTGACGGGCTGCAGTATAGGTCATAAATCCCACCTCCTCCAGCCATCATTATGGAGCTGTGGACAAACTTTAGAAATTTATTACACAGAACATAAATTTTTCTTCCCCCTGCTTGCGATGTTGACATGTAGTTATTGTAAGACTGGTTTGTGCTCAAGTCCTCTTTTTTCTGTACAGCTCCATTTTTAAAAGTTATTAGGGGGTTCATGTTTTCTATGATTGACTCTTGATACAGCCTATGGGGGAACGAAGATTGTGTATCTCACACGCACGAGAATATGCTGTTGTAGCTGAGTGTCATCGCAGAGACTCTTGGCAACTCTCCTGCAAAATGCATACAATGCAATTGCACAAGTGGTGGAGTGTGTACAACGCTACTGTGCAGTGTTGGTTTCAGGAAATGAAGAAAAAAAAAACGCTGCGATACTGAGAGCTTTTTGGCTTCAAATCCGTATACTGGCAGAAGGCGGAATCAAGTTGTCCATAGTATATACAGTCTATGATAGAAACTAATTCAGCATGTAGAGGATGAGCAAAGCAAGGACTGCCTTGCCTAGAGGGGGCGCCAAAGTTGACACAAACATAAAGTTCTTCACAGGGGATTTAACATTATGCATACCATCAGTATATGAAATTTATGGTGAGATTATTTTTTTAGTTAAAGTTCAACTGAGACTGATGAAGGACTTGCATATTACTTCATACTCCAAGTAGGTGTCCTGGACAAAATTTCAGAATAAAAGCATTTTGCGAAAACAAATGGTGTCCCTTCACAAAATATTTGCACCTGTGACAAAATATAGCTGACACAAAGTCAATCCAGCCCTCAACCTATCAATTTTCAGTTTATTTTGGCTGCATAAGTGACAGGCTGGCAGAAATCGAGGGAAGCCTTTATTCTAATAATTCACCTACTTTGTTATTGATGGAGCCAAAGTATTTTTTTATCATTCAAGTATATTAGAAAAGGTTTTTATTAGGATTGTTTTGTTCAATTTTATATAACGGTTGATTCGTAAAAGGATGTCAAACTGGATGTCATCAGTTTGCAGCTAAACTAATCTACCAACATGTTAAAAGAAGGCTACTTTAATGTACTGCTGTGAATCTTGGTTAGAACACTCTTGCAAACAGGATTTTAATCCCAATGAGGCTTTTTTGGCTAAATGGAATGAAATTAACAAATAAATAAAACACAAACCTGAGCCTCTCTAGTTTTTTGGACCACAGTTTTTTGGAAGGTGGACATGAAAGCTGCTCCTGCTACCATTGTGAACGCTACAATCTGTTAACATTCATTCTGAATTGAAAATGGAGCTGTTCTGGGGCCATCACACAGTCTACAGACACACACTGCAGATGTTTTTTTGCATCCAACCAGCCCACAATTCGATGACATTACTCAGACCCTAAAGTTTATCAGTACACTTCATACACTCAAAATCATGTCATGCCTGCAGATTCTGTATTGAAGTGCTGAATCTGTTCATGGAGATTATATTCATGCCAATAGAAATCTGTCAAGCTCAAAGTTTAGTTGAGGCAGTAGAAAGAAACAGGTTTCAGTACATTCTAAATTTGGTGAAGATAATCAGTCTAGTGAATTGTGACCACATTGTGTCAGTGCTGCGATCTTGCCATCAGACTTCAGCAGCAGCAAACAGAGCAGAACAGAGAGGAGAGAGAGACAGAAAGGGAGCAGGAGGGAGAGTGAAAGAAACAGAGAGAAAGCTTTCATGATAAAAACTGCCCGCTCACAGTGCGATAAATTGGGGGATGACACAAGTCAGAGCACAACAAAAGGGGAGAACATTGGATGGGGACCCTTCAGAGAGAAATTGATGGGATCGAGCCTGAAAGAATTGTCTCTGTGAGCCAACACTGAAGTTAGAGCTCCCTAAACACTCCAGGATTAAGACAACATCCCACTGGAGGAAGAGTTGGCATGAGCCCATTAGCCCTTTGTGATTTCTCAGACACTTTTTCTCACTTCCTCTTTTTCGCTCTCTGTGATGAGAAGCGAGAAGCGACCCCCCCCCCCCCCAAAAAAAAAAAAAAAAAAAAGAAAAAAGAAAAAAAATCACAGGTGTTATCCTGTCACAGTCAGCTCTGCATCCCACAACTGGCATATTGAACAGCTCATCACACAAATTCCAAATTAGACAACGTGATCAATTAGAGATCAGCAGCCTCCTCGGAGTTCAGAGCAGATGCTGACACTCAATGACTTATGCAGCGTGCTTGTGCCCTTTCCTCTGATCTTCTTTTATCAGTCAGAAACAAATTTTGTATTCAAAGAATCAAAGCCTCAATATCAAACAGTGGCATTTCCATCCCAATTTCTTTTGCCTTATCATCTCCATTGAATATTGATCCGTAAGCCTTTCTGCTAGTTTCCAAACTCTGATGAAAGTTCTAGTTCAGGCAATCCTGTTAAGCTCACAGCAGTGTTTGTTTTCTATAATATTTTTGTAAAAGAAAGGGTCCCTAAAAGACAACTGCATATATCCGGTTAAAATTATAAAAAGATTATACAGTACAAAATGCCGCGACTGATTTAACATCTAGTAATAAACAAACAATTTTGAATAAGCGACAGAGCTATTAAAGGCTGCATGTTATCAATTTGTGAGAGGCCCTTAACACACCTCACACATCTGGATAGTCAGACAAAATAATCTTAAGACCCATCCAATAGTCACACTTTTGTTAACTTTTGTCAGAAACCTAAAT